GTACCGTAATATGATAAAATAACGAATTGCAAATTGTGTGATTTGATTGGCTAATAATCACATGTAGATCTACAAATAGCTAGCCAATCAGACGAATTTCTGCCTATGAACGGCAAAGTTACGGACGAATCTTTTGTGGAACACTAATGAACTTTAGTTAATGAGGCAGCCAATTATTTCGAGTGGCTTAAGAGTACGTACGTACGTACGTAGCTTTTTCGAGGCATTTTAAGTGGGTTACATTTTTTTTTTTTTTAAATTAAATTAATGTCCCAGCAAAAAAAGGTAACGAAACAAAAATAAAGACCTTGAATACATGAACTTTGCACAGTTATTTTATTTTTTTCTTTTACTTAGAAAGATAAAGTTATATATTCTCTATGTGCTGGATTAATTGCCGGTGGTGTTGAAGCCACCATTACAGTGAGTCCTTAATATGCTATGGTGACGTGTTTTGTTTTTGTGTAATGCGTTTTTTTAATTTAATTTGCCTTCTCTCGTGTAGTACCCAACTGAGTATGTAAAAACACAGTTACAACTACAGGATGCTTCTTCCACCGGAAAAGTATGTAATTTTCATTATATCAAAATAAAAATAGCCCGCCATATCATAATTTGTCGATATCATGTATTATAGAAATTTAAAGGCCCAATTGACTGTGCAGTGCAAACAATTCGAACGCAAGGAGTGTTTGCACTATATCGGGGATTATCGGCATTAGTAATAGGCACTGCTGCAAAAGCTGGTGTTCGATTTTTTACTTACGACCAGATTAAATCTCTATTAGAGGATAAGAATGGACAAGTTTCAGGACCTAGATCTATGTTAGGTATATTGTAAACGAAAGTGTTTGAAAATTTTCATTATCAGGTACTAACGAAATTTTTGTTAATAGCTGGATTAGGCGCAGGAATGGTGGAAGCTACTTTTGTGGTGACTCCAACAGAGACTATAAAGTATGTTTAAATATCAAATGAATTGAGATCATTGTGATTCGCATAATGATAATTAAATATTGATGATTTTTTTATAGAACTAAACTGATTCATGATGCAAATCGGCCTGAGCCACGATATAAAGGGCTAATACATGGTAGATCAAGCATTGTAAATATTCATTAATTTACGTGTATTATACAATTCAAAATTCCTTTTTTTCACAGGTATCCGTAGCATCGTAGCGGAAGAGGGGATAGGTGGAATATATCGCGGTCTATTTCCAGTAATGATGCGTCAAGGGGCGAATCAGGCAGTACGTTTTTCTACATATTCTACTTTGAAACAGGAATTCCAAAAATATTCATCACCAGGACAACCGCTTCCATGGGCAGTAACATTTGGAATAGGATCGATTGCTGGTATAGTGACGGTATATTCAACAATGCCTCTAGACGTTGTAAAGACAAAGATGCAAGGACTAAAAGCAAAAGAATTATATAAAAATAGTTTTCATTGTGGGTGGAAGGTTCTAACCGAAGAAGGTGTTGCTGCATTTTGGAAAGGGGCAACTCCAAGATTGGGAAGACTTCTGGTCAGTGCATTACAATTACTTATTTTTTTTTTATCATCACCTTTTTATTATAACTGATGCATGAATTTAATATTTATGAATAGTTTTCTGGAGGTATTATCTTTACGGTTTATGAGCAAGTAATTGAAGGGTTTAGAAAACTAGAAAGGGCTCAGACAATCTAATAAATGTTTATAACTTGTTTTATTTATTATTGAATATATAGATGGATAATGACTTCATTAGATTTGACAGAGTTAAAACGTGATTTGGTTAATAGATCATTGCACAAGATGAAAACTTTGATAATAACCATGTTTTTATTGATTTAAATCAGGTGACATTTATGGTCTGATTATTTGTTAGATACCAAATGATTAACTATGATTGGCCCACTATGTAAAATTTTTAAAATTTTGTCGATCAATTTGTTAAAAAAATTTATAGTAGTAAAAACAAAATGTTATATTCGATTCTGTAAATTGCAAATGATATAAAAAAATTTGGTAAAATTGGACCCGACTTCGCTTTTCAAATTAAGAAAACAATACATGTAATATTATATTAGTTGCCAATTCCGGCAACGATTTATTTCACAAATAGTAAAGTATTAATACATGGCGTGTTTGTTACGGAGTAACGCCTACAGGCCGGCAATTATTTTGTAAATCTGAGAAATTGCGTGTATGCTAACGAATGTGTAATATCATTTATTACAAGAACAAGTAACTGCGCATAATAATTTATTCTCGCATATTCTCAAAATTCTTACATACTGTATTTGTTCCTTAATGATCTTTGAATATGGATAGCGTTATATTCTTTTATTGTTAATTAAATTAAGGAAGAGGTGGGTTGATCGGAGCAGCGTTTTGTCTCGAATCGAACACAGAGTATGAATCAATTGATCATATGAGTATATTGCTTTGATTTATTATATGATAACGAAATTACGTAGTTTTCGATTAGTAATTGTTAGAGCTTATCGATATGGTTACCGTAAAAGTCGGACACGTGTACCCCGGGTATTTTCATTGCTCAATTCTGTACCCAGGGTACCTCTATACGGGGG